CAGAAGAATTTGTTTCGACTTTTATTTATGAATTTTATTAAAAAAAATTTTTTGTTTACATATTATGGAAGCATCACATAAACTCATTTGCAACACATATGAATTGATTGATGAGGGGGTTCAAATTTTTCCAGAATCGATTTCCAAATTTAGCATATTCCCTGACTGACCTAGTCCAGCAATTTTGAATAAAAATTTTCCAATCAAAAATTTGCGTAGTCACGTGATTTCCATAACGCCCAAGGTTTGACGCGTGACATTTGACGATCATTCCATAAACGGGAAAATCGGCAATAATAATAACAGTCAGACAACATTTCACGCGATCAACATATCTACAGCATAGTGGACATTTGATTTCATTACAGTCAGGATTTTTTCCAAATTTGGAATTACCAAATATTGCAATGATCAACATCCTAAATAGTAAATTTGCACTATGTAAAAATTTGATTGGCTGTAATTCCGCCTTTTTCTTTTCTTTTCTAAAAACTCACATAATATGAAAAAATTTAACTGTTCATAGAAGGTCTCATGGATGTGTGTTCCCATAATCCATCAAGAAACCCATGAAATTCTATTCAAATAAAAAATTAAAATAATTAAATATTTGTTTAAATGGATTTTGATGGGTTTTTTGATGGATTATGGGAACACACATCCATGAGACCTTCTATGAACAGTTAAATTTTTTCATATTATGTGAGTTTTTGAGAAAAGAAAAGGAGAAAAAGGCAGAATTTCAGCCAATCAAATTTTTACGTAGTGCAAATTTATGTTGATCATTGCAGTATTTGGTATTTCCAAATTTGGAAAAGTACTGGACTGATTTTTTATCCAATACAATTAAGCATGTGGACATTCTTATAATAGGTAATGATTTTTGTCGATCAGGTTACACAAAAAGAAAATTTGATTGGCCCGAATAGATTACACAAAAATTTAGAGAAGAGGCTTCATGACATATAAGTTTTATCAAGTAGATATTGGAAGCAAATAATGCAAAACCATTAATTTAACAATAATCGAGAACAAACTACCTTGTTTCTATTATTTATGAAATAAATATATAGTATACAAATTTAACAAATTTATTAATTGGGGCAAACCAGACAAAGTGAACATTTGTATTATCAAGAAGTTCAGTAATTAGTTACACAGTGGAACAATACTTGAAAATAGGCTTCTATTCGAATAAGGTTTATTCAAATTATTTGTTTTATTTGAATTAATTTTTTTATTTGAATTAAAGATCAACTGTATTATGAATAATTTGAATAAGAATTTGTATTACAAATAGAAGCCCTACTTGAAAATCCCCAATCTATTTGTAATTGACTTTTTATGAAAACTAGAGCAATAAGGTGTTCCCTATTTCCTTTTAGTCAATTAATTAAGGATGTGGAGTCATATTTCTTCCTGAACAAATTCTTTGATCTTAAACACCAGACAGACATATCCAATAAATACATGTGGGAAAAAAACCAAAAGGTGAGTTGAATTTAGTAAAAACAGAAACTAGTACACTAATAAAATAAGAAATAATCTGCTGATTGATACTTTTAAATTGTTAAGAGTTTCCTTAAAAGAAACATAAAAATATTTTATTTGGAACTATCAATGATGAAGATTGATTTAAATCCAGTATCTATCACTATAATAATATAAATAATGACCAGAAAACTAATATTTTAATATGAAAAATTATTAATTGTGTTATTGCACAAAGATTATATACATTGATTGATATAAACAAAATCAGCAATATTTTCCATCTATCATTAAAATGTAATCATATATTTTGGGAAGAGAGACTTTCGTCTTCACTCTCAACACAAATCACACCAATTCCTGCATGATGTTGTTCTTTGCATGGGGCGAGCGAATGCATCAGAAGTCTCTCATGGAGAGATCTACAATTTTCTTCAGACATGTTGGCAAGGTTTTCTTCATGTAATTTTTTGATCAATTCAATTGTATCTAATAAACAGAGCTATGCAGATAAAATCCATCAACAAACAATACTTATATGAATGTGACTGAATCAAATGAAACAACAAAGGTATGGTACCTTTAAATCCCATAATAATTTAATAAAATTAAAAAAATATATTTGTTGATTATCCCATTCAATGGGAACAACAACTTTATGAGTTCTTTCAAAGATTAAGACACCAGATGCAGGGTTAGACATTCTCCAAAGTTCTAAATGATCATCTATAGATTATGTAAACAATTAAATATCAAGAAATGACACAAAGTATTTAATTGAAAGATAATTACCAAGTCCATGTAAGAAAGACACTTGAATCTTTGAAAAAGTTTTGTAGGATGCCTTTTCATAACAATATGATAGGTCTCCTAACATATAGATATTTCCAATCATGCCTTTAAGATGATACCAAGTGGATTGTGGTTTATCTATATAACCATAGCCACCACTGATCTCAACATGGCCAATTTCAATGTAATGATTTTTTAGGCACGTCAAGAAAACACCATCTGATTTTTGTTCATAATCACTTTTCTACAATAAGATTCAATTGATGATAAAGCTATTTCTCCCATTATATAAGAAGAAAGGTCAATATTATTAATTTATGCTGCATTAAAGCAATGCCTAAAATAGCACTTACGGGCTGTATATCAAATCAGCTTGTATTCCAGACAGAAGTTTCATTAAACACATATTTATTACATACAATTTGTATGAGCTTTTGGATATATTTCCACATTGTATTACAGTTTTGTCAGGATAGACAAATTCAAATCTATATGTGGTTAAAAATTACAGCAAAAATAGGCAAAATAGTAGTTCAAGTAAGTATTCTACTTACAAATATTTTAAATTTCTATTGAAAATGTGGTAATTGGGGTTTCGAGTCTCTGATCAATACTTTTCAGTTTATTTTCCAACTCATTTGTATGGCTCTGTGAACAAAAAATAATTAGATTTAGGAATGTCTCAATTCTAATAACAGAAAAAAAAACAAAATGTTCAAAGCAATACCAGCTTAATGATGTCCTTTAATGTTCCTGAGGGAGACTTATATTGGGGCACTTCTTTTACAGGTTTGCTGAATTTCATTGTAATCAGCTTCTGTGCACCATTTGGGTCTTGAAATGTTTACTCTACACCTGATTACACCCTAATGTTCCAATCTAATGTATTGTATAATATTAAAAAAGCATATTTTTCTGAATATTGGTTCAGATGTTTGATTTACTGTACCTTCACAATATAAAGCATTTTAGGATTGATTCAATTTACCTCATTTTGTGACCATTGAGACTTGTCACTTCTTTTAATAATCTCTTGACAGTGATTCATCACCAGAATCATCAGTCTCGTAAATAAAATCATCGTAATCAATTTCTTCTTCACTTGATGCATTTGTGCAATTTGTTTTTTCTTGGCATTTTTTTAATTTGTTAGTAATGTATTGTTTGTTGGTTACTTACGAAAAAAATATATATTAATATATATTAATATGACGATGGTTTTCTGAACCGAATTTCATAATTTGTTCTGGTCACGGGTCTCGGTTATCTTTTCCCAAATAGGAAGTATCATCTTGTGAAATTTCACCACTAAGGCTTTTTTTTATTAGTAAAATTGAAAAAAGCTCTCTATTTCATTGTTGCTTAGGTTCTAAAGATTGCAAAAATAGAAAGTTTTTTTCAATTTTATTAATAAAAAAAAAGCCTTAGCGAAAAAGTGACTACAAAAAAACAGTTACACTGAAAAAAACATAGTTACACTGAAAAAATGACAACAAAAACACAGTTACACTGAAAAAGTGACCATCACGAGTTGATTTTTCCCTTTTATTATTATTATAGAACGAGTTAATTAATATTTAACGATGGATATGCACATAATTTATAATCGAACAAAATCTTTTACAACAGCAAAGAAAAAAAAATGGCCTCATGGGATTACAGAGTATAAGGCAACACCTGAAACAGTTAGTGTGTTTAATAAATAAATAAGCATGAATATATATATATATATATATATCGTGGAAGTAAAATAAAACGCGTCAAGTACTCACAAATTTTTAGTTGGCACATGCAGGATTTTATTTCGATCGATCAAATCATCCACTAGATAATGTTATTTGTTTCATATGTGGCTGTTCGATAAAAGGTTGGAATAAAGACGATGATCCTTTCCAGAAACATCAAGCCAGTTCACCTGATTGTCCGTGGGTTCTGTGTCGAAATTACTCAAATAACAAAAATAACAATACCGCTAACGAATCAACTTTGAATTGGGACGATAAGAATCAATGGCCAACATCAAAAAAATTAGAAGATGCTAGAATCAAAACTTTTGGTAATTGGTGGCCACATAAAGAAAAAAAAACCTGGACTGCAACAGTTAAAAAGGTGATTAATAATTAAAAAGACTATTTTATTAAAAAATAAAAAAATCACATAAATTTATGCACACAAAAAACATATTATCATTGTTTAGTTGGCAAAAGCCGGTTTCTATTATTACCCATTGTATAAAGGAGATGATAATGTAGTTTGTCCTTATTGCAATATAAGTTTAGAAGGATGGGAACCTGATGATGATCCTGTGTAAGTATTTTTTAAAAATTATTAATCCAATAATAACAAATTAAAAATGGGGTTAACTTATTTCTCTCTCTCTTTTTATTTAAAATTAAAGAAAAGAACATACTAAAAGATCTATTACTTGCTTATTTTTTGCTAAACCACCAAAATCAAAAAAATCAAAAGCACCAGCTGCCATTACTAGAAAACCTAAAAAGAAGAATATTGTTGAGTTTAACGAGTTGGATAAGGACGTCAGTATAAAAGTCAAGGAAATGACTGTTGTTGTTGAGCCTCATGAATTGAATAAGAACGTTTATGTCGAAGTTAATCGATTGGCTGATGTTATCGAGCCTAATGAATTAAACAAAGATGTTTGTGTAGAAGAAGAAATTAACCAATTGACTGATGCTATTGAGCCTAATGAATTAAACAAGGATGTTTGTGTAGAAGAAGAAATTAATCAATTGACTGATGCTATTGAGCCTAATGAATTGAATAAGGATATTTGTGTAGAAGAAGAAATTAATCAATTGACTGATGCTATTGGGCCTAATGAATTAAATAAGGATATTTGTGTAGAAAAAGTTGATGAATTGATTGATGCTGTTGAGCCTCATGAACTGAATAAGAACGTTTGTGTCGAAGTTAATCGATTGACTGATACTATTGAGTCTAATGGATCGAATAAGGCTGTTTGTGTAGAAGAAGAAATTAATCAATTGACTGATGCTATTGAGCCTAATGAGTTGAATAAGAATGTTGGTGTCTGTGTAGATGTCAAGGAAACGGCCGTTGCTGTCGAGTCTAATGAATTAAACAAGGATATTTGTGTAGAAAAGGTTAATGAATTGATTGATGCCATCGAGTTTCATGAATTGAATAATGACATTTGTGTAGAAAAAGTTAATGAATTGATTGATGCTGTCGAGACCCATGAATTGAATAAGAACGTTTGTGTAGAAGTTAATCAATCGATTGACGTTGTTGAATCTAATGAATTGAATGAAGATTGCGTAGAAGTTAATGAAATGACTGATGCTATTGGGTCTAATGAATTGAATAAGGATGTTTGTGTAGAAGTTAATGAATTGATTGATGCTGTCGAGACTCACGAATTGAGTAAGGATGTTGGTGTAGAAGTCATTACTCAACAAATTGCAGATAAACTGAAATTGAATGAATTTGGTGATGCTAGTTTGGTAAATATATTGAAATAGTTATTTCAATTCTTTAAAATGTGTATAATAATAACACTATTATTATTATTATGTGTTATTTTAAATGGATATTAGAATCAGGATGAACAAATGGATATTATTATTAGCAAAGATAATATTATTATTGGTAATGACGATATAGTTACGAGCAATAATACCACTAACAGTTATGATATTGTTAGTAATGACGATATTATTTATAATAATTTTATGGTGAATGAAAATAATGATAATGTTATTGAAACGATCACCACCCCAACATTTTTCACTTCACCAATACTATCAAAATTACCAACACTTTTCACTTCGCCAATACTATCAAGATTACCAACATTGTTATCATCACCGACATTATCAAGATCACCAATAATAACATCAAATCAATCGCAAATTAAAAAATTTACCGTGGAAGATTATTTAAGAGATTTGGGTGAACAACAAGAAAAGAAGTTGGAAATTGAAATTGAGAAAATTATTGAAAAATTGTTGAATGCTAAAAAAAAAGTAAAAGAAGAAATAATGCAAATTCAAGTCATATAAAGAAGAAAAACCAATATTGCGTATTTTATATAAAAAAATAAAATAAGTTTTATGCGCCTTGCTTGATCTCGTGAAACTTTAGATTATTGTGATGACGTCATTTATGGTTTTTATTAAATTCCACATCGCTTATTGAGATAATAATAAAGTAATTATGTTTTGGCATTAACAAACTTATGAAAAGAAATAATAGTCGTAATCATAATAATCATAATAATAGAGATAATAATAATAACAATATTAACAGAAATGTTAATAAAAATAGAAACATAAAAGACAATAAAATCATATAATATTAGTTTTGGGGTGTCGTGGATGTTTTTGTGACATTTTCTTATTGAAGTGTGATTATAACTGTTATATGTATGTCCAAAATAACCAATAATGATAAAAACATAACATCGAAAAAAAAAATAATAATAAAGTAATAATATTAAAAACAAAAATAAATTCATTTCACTCTTCCGAGACTTTTGTGGCCTCTGTATCAGTAACTGTTGGTTCAGTTTCATTTGTTTTGTCATTGTCATATCCATTTCCTGATTGTCGCTTTACAATATCCACAATTTATTTTTCTGTCATTTCTTCTTGAATAACAGGAGTTTGATCAATCATAATAAATTCATTGGCATATACAGTATTTGGATCTTCTTTAACTATTAAATTAGTTGAACTTTGATTATTATTGATGATTTTAGTTTTTTCCCAGCCGTTTCAACAGTTACTTATTAGATATAAAACCAATTATATCGAAAATATTTATTTCAGGTATTTCTCTCTGGTTTTTAATTAATTCTTTAAAAAAAATTACACAGAACTTATACTAATATTAAGTACGAGACCTACGTAGACAGCCTACAATAAGGTGTAAGCTCCAACGTCGTGAATGACTTTTATTGTTTTTCTGTGATATACTTCAAAAGTATATTACGAGCTCCGTTTATATCTCTGTTAATGGTGGATTGGCAAAATTAATATGATTTTTGAATCACCCAGATTTGATTTGATGACTCCACAACATCCGCACGATTTGCTAGTGTATTTCTCAGTGCAGATGACGAACTTGTGCCGAGGGTGCTCGTGGATTTGTGTTGGTAATGTGACCAAGTTAACATTTGTCTTACAGTTTAGAGTGGATTTTTCTAAACCGCATTTTTTAGCCACGCTTTTGTTTTAAACTCAGGGAGCGAAACTACATGGTGGTTTTGCATAACCGTCTTGTTAATCTTTAATGACATTCATCCATAAGATTATGAATTTTCTTGTGGATCCGGATAATTCGTTAGATTGGACGGATTGAACGGATTATCCATTTGATTAAAAACATTAAGATAGAATTTTAATACCAATATTTTTGATAACTCGTTGATTTCATCCAAAGATGTAATGATGTAGCAGATGATATGTCTTTTATTGATAAAGTTAAAATGCTGTATGTGATATTTAGGAATTTACTATAATTTGCCTTTATAGGAAAAGTTGCATTATACTTTTTGTGATATATAAAAATTCTATACAAAAAAATTAATAGAGGAAACGCAGATTTGGGCGTGTGTTCGATTTATTTATGGATCGGTCGTTTTTTAGGCATTTCGTCCAATTCTTCTTCTGAATTTATACATCTAGTATTTTCATTAGTAATAATTAAAATGAACATATAAATTTTGTTTTACGGAGTACTGTTATACTGCTTGTTCATAATAAATAAATAATACAGACCACACACAATAATATGATAATTTGTTATGCTGATTTGATTATTTTTATCAAAGATATTTCACCATAAATTTGAAATACAGGAAAAAAATATTGTATATTTGCTTTATTGTTACAATAAAATATATAGGCACATAGGTGCCAGGTACATATATCAAGAATAGTGTAGCTAGTGTTTCTGATACAATTACAAAAAAATTGTCTATTCTTTGTCTTTTTCTTTTACAATGTTCAGGGCAACTTCTTGAACAGATGACTCTTTTGCATCGAATTAGAGGTGTAGATCTCTAAGAGCCGTTTCTTTTTGGTTTTCACTATTTATCAGTTCTTCAATTCAGATTCCATCCTTCTTTTACTGCTTCCCCGAGTAGCTGTGATGGATGGAAATCTAAAGAAAAAGTAAAATTTATTAATATAACTATTATTACTATTATTGTTAATACTATTTATACTTACAAATTTTTTTTGGTAAAGATTCTATATTATAAATCACCCCAGATTCCATCCTTCTTTTTCTGCTTCCCCGAGTAGCTGTGATGGAAGTCTAAAGAAAAAGTAAAATTTATTAATATAACTATTATTACTATTATTGTTAATACTATTTATACTTACAAATTTTTTTTGGTAAAGATTCTATATTATAATTGATTTGCTCTTTATTCCAAGGATTATGTTCACGGAGGTAATATAGGTGCTATAATCCTCTAAATTTTTTGCACTGCATTTTCGTTTTGAATTGACCTATTGTAAGAAAAGCAACTGTTAACAGTGTGTAATTTTTTATTTAGGACAAAGGAAGGTATGTAGCCAACCTTTCCTCCGGAATCTGCTGACCTTTATCAACAACAAAGTTAGAGCGTCTGAATAGAGGACTTGGAGTGGTTACCAAGCCGTTATACCCAGTAATTCTCCTAGGCAATGGGCATATTGCACTTTGACTAGAAGTTACCCTAACCTTGCATAATAAAAACACATCCTTTTCCATTTAAATCTTCACCAAGTCTTTTTGCCACGTTTACAAAGTTGGTAGTCCACGAGTTATTGAGATCCTCCCAATAGGAAGTAAGTGGATGGTAGAAAGCAGGGTTGGCAAATGTGCAGTCCATTGATGGTCTATTGGTGGTCCATTGGGTCCATTAACATAACGCTTTAACCATATTCAGTATTTTATTAACGGAAATGGACCAGTCAATTTGCCAACCTTGATAGAAATGATTTTGTTTTGATAATAAAGCAAAAAACTATAGTAAGATTTGTTTTTTGTTATTTTTTAAATATGAAATAATGTGTTCATAAATGGGACTAGGATATTTTTCATGATTAATGATTAATCGTTTAAAAGTGGAGGCCATATTGTAATTAATGAAAAAATGTCATTTGTATCATACTTAGGAAGAAAAACAATATGGGTCATGAAAAATAGAAACAGCTTTAACTGCAAAATCATGATTTTGAGATAATCGAAAAAGAGATTTTGAAGTTTTCCAAACAAAATAATAACAATATATAATAAATGATATAAATGATAACATAGCGGTGATTGGTTGATCCATAAAGAAATTGATTGGATAATTTTTATAATATGTCAATCATTGTTAAGATTTTTTAATATTGCTTTGTAATTGGTAATAAATAATTCAGCGAAAACATTAGGAGGTGAAAACCCTTGCTATAATTACAATGTAATAAAGTGCGCCTATGGTTTGAGACAGCATATCCTATATGATGAATGTATCATTTACTCACTACTTGTGATATATTAAATAAATCATTACATAATTCTTCTCTATTGAATACATTAAATATTAAATAAATTATAAATATTAAATAAATTTGTTCATGCATTCTCACCGTAGACTAACAACACCATTATAACCAACTCATGTCTTCTTTTGGTTCAGTAGACATGATGTAGAACTATAAGAATTATGATTAACGTTTATAAATGTACCTTCTAACGAATACAAAAGAATAATTTAAATAAACATTTTACTTATTCAAATCACTAACCAGAATATTAAAAGAACGTGGGCTTTCTATTAGTATTATTTATGGTCCCTAACCGTTGTTAAATGATTTAATTTGAGTTTATTATTTTCAGTGAACATATGACTTGCCAAATGCAAAAAGACTTTTATAGCTAATGTCTGAATTAATTCACCTTTTACTGAATTACTTTTACAATCCATAAAATAGAAGGCGAGGAATTAGAATATATTGTGACATACAATTGAGTTAAAGTCAGGTGACGAGCCAGTTTGTATATAAAAACATGTAACTATTACCGATCATTTCCTAAATGATTATTTTTAACCAAATACCTGGGTTTGCATCTATCATTGCTTATTTTAGTAAAGCCCTGATTTTTTGGTTCTTATATGATTTGCATAGTTCCTAAGCTAAAATCAACCCTTTGTAAAGAATTGCATATAAGAATGTTATTAACTCAAAATTGAGATTTTGCAGTTAGGGCTGTTTCTATTTTCCGTGCACCATTTACCACATTGCTCGAAATTTAGCATCGAAGCGTAAGGGTTGCGTGTATCACGAGGTAATTTATCGAGTTTGGTTTATATTAATATTTATATTTATTTATTGTGACCGGCGCGGTCTCAAATAATGCGGTAACACAAATGTAATATTTCCATGATTTTCTGTGGGTCTTACGAAGTAAGGATGCTTCCGCATCTGATCGAATTTCATATCTAAACAAGTATTAGTATTATTTATCATCCGGGTATTATACCAGTATTAAGAATTCAATCACCGATTAATTTTTGTGTTAGTAATAATAAATTTCATCCGCAATCCGCTAGCCTTTTAAAAAAACTATTATATGACCGGATTTTTTTTACCACGGATCGATCACTAGTGAGACGAAGGTCATAATTTATTTCAAATGTTTCAATATTTAATAATGACCGCGGTTTCTATCCCATTCTCTTGATAGAATGGTAATTTATCCTTTTTTTGGATCAGAATTCAATTCAAAGTTTTTCCTTTTTTTAAAGCAATATTTGACTTGTAATTTTTTAAAAAGGTCAATCATTGCTGCATCCCTAATGTGTAAAGCCCCTCATTTAAGGCTAGTGTCTTTATATTAATGATATAATTTTTTTTCCATCCTGTGTATTTCCTTATTTGATCTATCACACTGTTAACTCAATGATTAAATTGCGGCTTGGTGTATCTAATATTGTTTTTTCTTCTGATTAGGGTAAGGTTTAATTTTAACGTTGGAGTTTTTTTGGAAAAGTGGTCGAAGAAGAAGAAGAAGAAGATGATGATGATGATGATGACAAAGTTAAATTCTCACTCATAGAAAAAATTACATCTTTAAAATTTTTCCATGTTCCATCTGGTTAAAAAGAGAAGATTATTTAAAACTCTATGTGTTGGTTAACTGTAATCCATGAATCAAGAGCTAGTCTTTTTAACACCATTGGGAGATTCTACCAAATACTTTACTATATGCAAATATCCTTATTATGTAATGATGTTCATCCATAATTAACTTTTTGTGACACAGCTGCATCTCTTTGCAAGAGATGTCTATTATATGATGCTTTTAATAACGTAGTCTATAAAATTATATATAACGTACAATAAAGAGTACAATAAATAGATAAATTTTTTTATCTTTATATTTTGTCTTACCTCACCAGTTTGATCTTCTAAATCAACAATTGCATCTGCACTTTCTACCAACCACCTAACAACAACCAAATAACCACGATGCAACGTTCGCGCGTTTGAAATCTGTCACTTTCCCTCCAGATCCTTTTGGTGCTAAACTTTTGCTAAGATAACCCATGGAAGTTGTCTCATAAATATTCATATCCTCTGAATCCCTGAGGAAACGATAATAACAAGCATTGTTTGTAGAGTTTGGAGGAATTTTTATTTGATTGAAATATATGTTTCCATAATATCTATGAGTTTCTCCTGGGTGGGTTGGAATTGTTACCGCAGTTGATGAAAATATATAGTAATAGTAAAATAAAATTTTCACGCATAAAAAAAGTAATAATAATTGATGATCGAGCATTATATAAATTGTGAGCCAAATATACATATTAATAATATTAATTCATTTTTATTCAATTTGTCATTCTTTTCAAGAATTTAAAAAAATGACAGTAGGACAAAAACTTGTTAAATTAACCTCTTCCGAAGGAACAGAGTTCAAAGTTGAAAGAATCATAGCTGAAAAGTCAATTTTATTAAAAAACATGCTTGATGATGTTGGCGAAAAAGACATGTGTAAGTTATATATATAATATATATCTGAATTTTAGATCTCGTGTGTAAATAATATTACATAGAAAATATTGTTTAGCTAGCTGAAATTAACCAGTCGAAATATTTTATTAATATTTCTTTTCTATAACAATATAACAATATAACAACAACAACAACAACAACAACAACAACAACAACAACAACAGCAATACCTTTGCCGAATGTTACTGGACCTATTTTAACTAAAGTAATTGAGTATTGTACGCATCATCGTGATGAACTGATGACAACTACGGACGACAATTCTAAGAGGTCATCAACAGCAGATGATATTGATGATTGGGACGCTGAATTTTGTAAAGTAGATCAGGGAACATTATTCGAATTGATTTTGGTGATTGCTTTTTTTTTTAAATAAATCAATTGATTGATTTATATATATAACACACACACTATTCACTTACCGATTGGCATTATTATTGTATGTGTTAAATAGGCAGCAAATTATTTAGATATAAAGCCTCTTCTTGATCTTGCATGTAAAACTGTTGCAAATATGATTAAAAGCAAATCACCCGAAGAAATTAGGAGGACTTTTAATATTGAGAATGATTTTACACCTGAAGAAGAAGAACAAGTTCGTAAAGAAAATGAATGGTGCGACTAAATATTATTATTATATTATTATAATATTATAGTATATAGCATATTATTACTATTATTATTAAATTCTATCCAAAAATGAATATGAACGAATTCACATTCGATAGAAAATATTTATTATGGATAAATTTTATTATCATAAATAAAATTTTCACAAAGTTAGAAATAATAGATTTCCATGTTTTAGATATAGTGTACCATAATAAAAACAACATAAATAATATTTATTTTAAAGACTCTGGAATTATTGCAGAGTCTTGTTAAAAGAAGACGTGGTATGATTTTTATAATAATATTTCTAGTTTGTTTATTATACATACTATTTATAAAATATATAAATATTGATTAGAAAAATGCTGAATGTCCTGAAATACTACGCGTGTCATCGTCTTTAACATTGTTAGGATCATTTCCCTTAAATATTTCTTCAATAACATCAGTTGAGGATTTGCCACCAACACTAAGAAGAAAATTATTTGCTGCCAATGATGAAGTTATTGGTGTTGTGTGATTTGCTTGTGCATAATAAGCAGATCTCTGCATTGTTCCAAAAGAATTTAATTGGTCGGTTATTAATTAAATCAATCAGTCATTGGTTAAAAAAGTTGAATTAATATTTATTTGAAGGTCTTACCAATGAAGATGTTGATCTAGATTTTACCATGTAATGTTCTTCAAAATTAAAACTTAATCCAACAACTATTAACATTTAAATTGAATATACCATAAGTAAAAAAAATAAAATTATTGTATAAATAAAAAATTATTTTCAAAATAAATAAGATTACTTGATACTTCGTCATCTTCTACATCACGATCTGATATAATTCCAGTAAGACCACTATATATTTGAGTTTTCTTTAACGAAGGTCTGAAATAAATTAAATTTTTTTAGAGAAAGGATAATAATGGTAATAATCAATGTTAAACAATAAATGATAAATACACATTATAGAAAAAATCTCCAAAAACTTTCTTCATATTAATTGACAGCTAAATAATAATAATAATAATAATAATAATAATAGTGTAAATATAGATATACATGAGCGAATTCTTTTAAATAAATAAGTAAACTTTTTTAAAATATTTATTTACCTTTAATGTAGAGTTAATCTTACTTTCTTGTAATAAATAGTGCCTGGTTATTACAGTGGACCCAACATATTCAGAAAGATTGATTTTTAATCTTCCAATATTATTGATTTCTTTGCCACCATTTAACTCCTAATTATTCGAAATCAATCAGCATATTTCAAGTCACCATAACTATAATTATAAATTCTTTATCAAATTACCTGTTTTATCGATAGAGACAACGCGCAGGGTAATAAGAAATTATCTTTGCCTATAACAAGTTGTACTCTATCTTGTAATTTATACTGCCAACGCACTGAATGATCTTTAACAGGTGCTCTAAAATAATATTGGTAATAACGAAACATTATTATTATCGCTTATATTATCATCATTGTCATCATCATCACTTGTTATTATAATACCTATGAGTCATCTTATTTGATTTTGATCCATGTTTCAATTTCCATTTCACATAATAAAGTCCTGATATTAAAGGAACATTTAAAAGTTCCTCTATTATTATTTCAACATCAAAATCTACTTTGCGGTTTCTAGGAATAAATAATAATGATAATGTCATTTTTTTTGACCGAAAAACCGCATATTTTTGCTCAAAAAAAAACTATTTGAAATAACTAAATGAATGTAATGTTAACCAGTCAATCAATCTGTCTATTTCGATTTAATGAATGATTATTATGACGGATTAAAAGGTGACGATGTATATATATTTATATATATATATAAAATGTGAAAATGTTTATTAAAAGAAAGGAAAGATTTGGTTTATTTTTTATAAAATTTTATAAATGAATTTTGTGTTTATTTATATTTTGTCAAATTCGGGTAAAATATTTATTTGTTTGACAAGAATTAATTAAATACTGTAACAGGCGATCAGAACACATTTTAATATTATTAATTAAGTTAATACATGTTTTAATAACTTGTTAAAGCAACTAAACTACCTCTCTTAGTATTAGCAAGTAGCTAGTGAGAGAATTGACATCCCTAATGTTAGGCGAAATTTTTTTATTTAGTTTCGTATCTTCATTTTTTTTATAAAAAAAAAATTTCAGGGGCCCAAATTGCCTAAACCAATTTGGGCTTTTGAAAATACTTTTGACTGACGACTTTTCCTCCCACAATTCTCTTACATATCAAAGATATTTCTGTAGAGTTTTCCGATGCGTTTTACGGTATATTGATATAATCATTAAGAGTATAGACTTGATTTGTAAATAGGTCTGCTAATCCATACCTGTTGTTTTTACAATGACTACTAACTTGTGGTTTTTGTATTCCTCTTTTATTTCTTACTCGCACCGCTGTAAATTGTGAAAGATAAAGTTTTCATTATGTTATTATTACTGTTTATTATATGCAATGTTATGGACCATTACGTGGTTAACTTGTGTCGCACTTAAATTAGACCACAGGTTTGTTTATTTACTATTTATCGTCTTTGTTGACGTTTTTTTAATTATACTAATTATAAATAGAATTCGTGATCCTTGCCGCAAAATATGCCAGGGCCCACATGTATGTAATTAAAATGCCATTAAAACATCTCTGATAAAGAATTTCATTTCTACACAATAAAACTGTGTTTTTAATTTCCAAAATTTTATTGGGACCGGAAAACTCAAATTCAAATTAAATAACAGTTGGTTATATTCAAATACACGGTGAATCCCCATTTAGCGAATACTTTGGGCAATTAGGGAAATTTTCCAAAAATCCGTTAAACGGAGATATCCGCTATATCGGGACCCGTCCGTTCTTTAAACTTTATCCGTAAAGCCGAGATTTTTAATTAGTATCCGTTAAATCGAGGTCTGCTAAATCGAGATTCACTATGTACAGTTTTATCAAATAATTAAACAAACCCAAATAAACTATTAAATTTTAAATTTAAACGTACATTGTCTGCCAGCTGTTTGTCTAAATATAAGTTTATGACATTTAATTCTCGTGTTTGTTCACGAATCTTCAATAGAGAGACATAAACGTTGTAAAAAGAAATACCCGCCTCATATTTTACATATTTTAATGAACTCGTTAATGTTGTTAACAAGCAATTGTAATCATCTAAATGATACATGGCAAGAAATTCCTTTTATAACTGCTTCTTGTATCGGAAAACATATTTTCAAAGCTTTATTATTGTTAAGTTATAACGTACAAAAATTAAGGATAAAAGTAAAATTTCTGAAAATGGCACAGCACGTGATGTCTTGGTTTTTTAAACCCGTATGTCTCTCTCTGGCTAGAAATATTACTAGACTTTTAAATAATTGTTTGGTACAATTATTTATAGATTGCTGGTAAGATTGAGCGTTCATTTTCAAATCGGGTTCGAAACAATAATTTTGGGATAGGATATTTCTAACCATTGAACCATTGAATACTTGAATATTCGAATCAAGCATGATGATGATGATAATAATGGAAATACAAATTCTTTGGTGATAACAAATGCAGTCATAGGATACAGAAGTCATGGTACAGTTTGTTCAAAAGTGACTTTCAAGGGCAATAAAAATGTTACTACATCATGGGCTCTCATTCCTTTATATTGCATTGGAACTTTTCATGACCTAAAAGAAAACGGAACATGCACACTTGCATTTTTACATTATCTCGATGTTGGAAAATTACTTCTATTTTATTATAAATTTTTGACCAAGTCATTTGAAAAATGGCAAATGATCATAATCAATGGACATTTTTTCAGCAAGTTGTCTATTTTATCATGTATAAATTATAATCACCTTTAAAATCTATTTTCTATGCAGGGTTCAAAATTAATTAGTATTATGCAAAAGTGTTACCAGCATTCCTGAAATTTCAACATAATTCTTGTTAATTTTTAACCCTGTGTAGGTTCCACATAAGATTTATTTTATATTACCACCACTAGCTAATATTTTCATGCTTCTAAAAAAAATCTTGAGCTTTCTTTTGATATAATTTTTAGTAAAGAAACTCTTTCGTAACTTTTTTAAAAGGAAAATATTATATACAGAAAGGTTCTTTTTATGGAATTCACAGAACCCTACCAAAAATGACAATTCATTCTACAAAAAAGGCAACTAAATTGTAGCTCAAAAATTTCGACATTTATCAATGATGTGATGATTAAATTTGTGGCATAGGAAATTTGCAAACATATTAATAACTGAATTTCATGCATCTTGAAAAGAATAATAATCAGAAAAATAAATATTTCCCGAGGTTTAATTCAACAAAATGTCAATTTGTCTGATTCAGCTTGGGAAAAAATTAAAAAATTAAGTGGTTTGCAAAAGTATTGACGTTTTCTTTTGAAGCATCTGATCCTGATGGTGTTGAAACTCAGGCGGGAGGTTGCTAATGGGCCTTTTACTGAATTCAATTTATTGAAAACTAAAAAAAAACAGATATTTCTAAAGTTATAAAAGAAATTAAAACTTTATTTATTTTAGTATTGATACCTCCTCCTTTGGATCGCAAAAGGCAGGAATACCTTTACAAAAATGTTCACTCATTTGTGAAAACCAGTATAAAATGTTGACAATTGGTTATTATTTTTCTTCTACTTTTTGTTTTTCTAGGTACTTCATAATTTTGTGTTAAAGTTCTTTACCAGTTATGATTTTTCTTTCTTGGTAAATTTCATAAGTAATCATTTCTTTATCTAAATATGTTTGCAAGGATTTAGTATCTGCTAATTTAAAAATGTAGGGCACAATTTTTTCATCTTGTCCCTTTTCAAAATACTTCTAATGGTGAATGGCAAATTTTTCAATTAATAATTACTTTCCATAGGTAGACCATTCTGACTGTATCACTGAAATCTAGCTAACATTTAAATTTACATTTTTCAAACTTCTTATTTAATTCATCTTTTAGAAATAGTTCTTTATCATTTATATTCTTCATAATAAATATTTTTATAATTGCCTTGTGATTTTGCATTTACAATTCCATACTACTTTGCAGCAGAAAAACACTTTATCATTATTTAGATTATTAATCTATTAGGAGAAAAACAATCTAAAGAACAAAAATGTTCATTATGTATAAATACAGATATTTTTTTATAATAATAATAGATTTTTTTCAATTACAAGTTTCTATTGGTCAAAAATTGTGACCTGATGACCTAATTACCAATGGTCATATGACCACATGACCAATTACAAAAATGGGATATGACCCCAACACTTGTCGTAATTAGTAGAGGTTGTACCTAATGAATAATATTCATCCAGTAAAATATTTGGTTAACCGGATATTGATTTTTTTATTTATTATGACGAATAACTGATAATCAATATCTCGTGTAATAAAATTTCTCATGTCCAAATAGATTTACCTCAAAAATCCGGAAGAAGAGCTATAATAGGAGAAGGTAATATATAATAACGAGAGGGGAGGAGCTCATATTTTGAAGTAAAAGGTTCCAAGAAGTCGAGCTGGATATTGAAAGATGATAATAAAAATAATTTCTGGTTTTGTCAAAGCTACTAAATACCTGCAACGTCCACCCCAAATGAAAGATTATTTAGTCAAGCTGGAAATTCAAAAAGAACAAAACTTAATCCACTTTGATTTGAAAAATGGTTTTTTTGATTGATAATTTTGATAGAATGTAAAATGATTAATAAATTTTTTGTTAACAATGAACATTTTAATTATTCATACCAAATGATTATCCGGATGTTGAATGAATATTCGACTTCTAGTAATTTAGTTAATATTAACATTATTATTATTTAGGATTCACGATATCGCAATTAAAGTGCTATATCGTATTTAAAAGGTTATATCTCATTTAAAGTACTAGAGTGCTAAATCGCAATGAAATGGCTACCAATTAATTAATTATATACAAGAAGCTTGAATTCGACATATACAGTAAAACTCGGTTTAACAGATAGTTTGGGAAATTTTTCCAAAAATCTGTTAAACCGAGATATCTCTATAGAGAAGGTTTTTATTAAGGTTTATTAATCCATAAAACCGAGATTTTAATTAGTATCTGCTAAATCGAAATTCACTGTGTACTTGTAAAATAACTTTTTTGTAATAAGGTTTAAATATTAACTTAAAAACAAGCTAATAAATTAGTTTTGGTTAAATAAAACATTTCTTTATGGGCTGTGTTTGTTTTTTAATTGTTCCACAATGCTTAAAAAGGATTATAATAAGAGAATGTAATAATGATAATGATAATAGCAAATTTATCTTCATGTTAATATTATTTATCATTTGGGAAAAACGTTATAAAATAAATTCAAAAAACATTTCTCGGAAATTCAGAGAAAATTTCACAAAAAAATGTTTAAAAGCATCGAAACAAAAATTATTGCAAGATGGGCTTTTAATACAAAAAATTGGATTCCTACAACTAAAGAATACGATCAATTGTTATCACTTGTACAAACTAATGAACGAGAGAAAATCAAAAAAATTAAAATTTTAGAAAATTCAAAGTCTTCATTAATTGGAAGATTATTGATGATATTATTATTTAATAGAATTTATGGAATTGATTGTAGAGAAGTTGAATTTGATAGAACAGAATACAATAAACCTATTTTGGTAAAATGATTTTTGAAATTCTTTCTAAAATAATAAACAGTGATTTTTTTTCCTTCCTAAAACAATAATGGTGTAATTATTTTCCAAAAAAACAATTTTTATTTTTATTTTTTTTTAAGATTAATCCGAAATTAAATATTTTGTGTGATTTTAATATTTCACATCATGGTGATTGGGTTGTGTTAGTTGCTGGAGAAAATTGTCGAATCGGTATTGATTTAATGAAGATCGAACAGCCTAATGCTGGTTATAATGTTAAAGAATTTATTACCACATTTAAAGATCAAGTAAAAATTTTACAATTTATTTTTGATTTCGATTTATTTTCAAAAATAAGCAATATTAATAATAAAATGGTTTTTCAAAGTTTACAGAAAATGAATTTAATCTATTGGTAAATAATCAACAACGACAATACAACAAAGAGGAAGTGGAAATTCACCAATTGCAAAGATTTTATAGATTTTGGTGCTTGAAAGAAAGTTATGTTAAAGCTGTTGGAATTGGATTATATTTAGCTTTGAATTCGTTTGAATTCAAATTGGATGAAAATGAAGAAAATCTCAAAATTAAAAAGGTAAATATATTATTATATAATTAATTCGTAGAATTATAATAATATGATCTAATTCGTGACTATGACATCATTGATTATTTAGAATACAAAACTTTATGTAAATAATGAATTGAAGGTTGAGTGGGGATTTGAAGAGCATTGTTTAGATGAAGAACATTGTGTGTGCATAGCATATGATACTAATCGCAATAGTAATAATGGTAATGATAGAAAAGAAACAATTAACGAAGGTTTTGAAATAATTGAAATTCAAGATATTTTTAATTTAACTGGTACTAAAAATAAGTTATTTACACGTAAATACAATATTGTTAATACATATAATTATGTGTAGTGTTTATTTAATACATAAATTTTTAAGCTGATCAGCGAGCAAACCAATTATTTATTTTATTTATTTTTAATTTATTAATTGAGAGAAAGAACATGGGAGAAGAAGGGATTCGTCGAAAAAGCGGCAATAAATTTAAATTTTGCCAAATTGGGGATTTATTAACGTTACACAACTTATTAGTTTTTAATTAAACGGTGGATCAATTCAATTTTTTAAAGTATTAAGTTGTTTATTAAATTAATCATACGTAAGATAGATGAACGAAAAAGAATATATAAATAAAAATTTATATAAATATGTTGTTTACTTTGAGTTTTATGTCCCTTGATTTTATTTTATTTTTATTTTTTTTTATTCGAAGAATATATAAATAAAATTAATTTTTAAAAAGAAAAAAACCAAAAATGCTGCTGCCGAATAAAATTTCTTTAGTTTTATTGTGCACGACCACTTTATTTGGATTCATTATAAATAATTTCGATAATAACAGTCGAGTAGAAGCTGCTTATGCTTGTGACGCTTCTCTATGTAAAGCTCCTGATTGCTTCTGCGCCACGCAAACTCCTCCTGGAGGCCTAACGCTGGATAAAACACCACAATTTGTGCTTTTAACTTTTGGTAAAAAACTTTTTAGTTACAATGTTCATTCTTTTCATTTAACCACCATTATATTAATAATCATTGTTGGTTTTTAGACGATTCAATTCAAGACCGAAGTGTGAAAGGTAGATATTTTGAAAATATCGTCAAATTTACGCGCTCTTTTTATTAATTGAAAATTTAAAAAAATCTCTTAACTTTTAAAAAAATTAAAGTTGCGTATGATCTTATTGGAGAAAGAAAAAACCCAAATGGGTAATTATAATTATTTAACAAAAATTTTTTTAATTTGATTTATTTTTAACATTGATTGTTGTCTATATATAGATGTCCCATTAAGACAACATTTTACGTGAGTATAAATTATACAGATTTTTCTTTAGTATCAGAATGGTATGCAAAAGGTCATGAAGTCGCTGATCATACAATGACTCATAACGAAAAACCACCAGATCCACTAAGTAAGTTTTTAATAATCAACACCAGCACCTTCCTAATTAATAATATATTTACGAATCCATTAATTTTTTTTTAACAATAAAAAAAAACCAGAGGAAATAATTGGATGTAAAAAAGCCTTGAATGCGTTTGCTGGCATACCAAATGGCAAAATTAGTGGATTCCGTACCCCTTTTCTTGATTGGACACCAAAAGTGTTTGACGTTTTAGCAACGAATGAATTCGCTTATGACACATCAACTACTTCATTGGCCGCAGATGATACTTGGCCTTACACATTAGATTATGGTTTATATAATGACTGTGATAAAGGCTTTTGTGACACTGTAAAACATCCCGGATTATTTGAAATTCCCATGTCTAGTCTTATTGGTAATTATACAGGAAACAGTCGGTTTTGTTTGCTTGTTAATGATTGAAAATTTACAAAATTAAAAAAAATCATTTAATAGATGAGAAAGGTATTCCACATTTGATGGATCCAACGCTTGATGGCACACCAGATCAAGTAATGACTTGGTTGAAAGATAACTTTAATCGTCATGCAAAACAAGGAAAAACTCCATTTGGTAATTATTTTGATATAATAATAATAAAGTAAATAGATAAATATTATTATTCATATTTACCAAATAATGTTTGTTTGTTTATTATATAGGTGTTTACCTACATCCAGTTCAATTATCCGAAATCCCCGGAAGACCAAGTCCTGAACCATCTATCAAAATGCTTAAAGAATTTTTCGATTGGGCATTAACTCAACCAAATGTCTGGTTTGTTACCAATCAACAATTACTTCAATGGATGAAAAATCCAGTGCCAGCTGATCAACTTAAAGACTATGCGCCATTCAAATGTCAAACACCAAATGTAGGAAAAGAAATATGTAACGGATTAGATGATGATAAAAATGGTCAGGTGGATGATGGATTAAGGGAATCTTGTAATTTTGATATTGCTGTTTGGAGTACGTGTTACGGGTGTCCTAAGGTTCAACCAACTGTGGATAATCCTGTGCCTGATTCAACAAATCCCAAACGTTATCGTGTACCAACTACATGTGATACTCTTTGGTGGGATCCTATTGAAAACAAATGTTTGTGTACTACACCAGAATGTAGTTACATTGATCAAAGCAAGGTTCCTAATGATGTTAACTCTAATGCTAGTAGCAGCAATAATACCACCACCACACCTAGTGCTACACCTTCTAACAATAGTAATAATCCTCAAAATAGTACAAGTGATTCTACAATTATATTTGCAAATACTAGTTTAATAATTTTCATCCAATTATCATTATTATCATTATTCACGGGTTTTTTTTAAATAGATAGTAATAATAATAAATAAATAAATTAATTAATTAATATAGACTTTTTTATGTCTTATTTTTTTTAGAAATTTAATTATTTTTTAACTTAGAATTAATTTAATTGTGATTTCTAGAATATTTATAAATATTTACAACTTTTCACTTTTCCATTCCTAAAAAAACCAAACTATAAAAACTAATAAATTAATTGTAGTAATATAATAATGAAAAAATTAAAAGTAACAAATATATATATTTTAAACAAATGATTTTCTTGTTAAAGCTGGTGGTTGTAATATATGTATATGTTCATCCCAAGCACAAGTAGCAATTTGACCTTCCACATACAAATTAAAATCCAATCCTAATACAAATTCAGTGTGTGCATCATAAACTTCGATTAAAGGATTAGACAAACTTGTATTCCACAGTTTCATTGTCATATCATATGACACACTTCCAATGATATTACCATCATGTGGTGAACACTTAACTCTTCTTACAGCATACTCATGACCCATCAAACACATAACCTCTCTATTGGAAAACCTTAGATCCCATAGCTTGATGATTTTATCAACTGAACCTGTCACGATTTGATTTTCTTGATATTTGTTCCAGTCCAATGAAAGTATTTCATTCAAGTGTCCATGAATTGTTTGAACAGATTTTGTTGGAACTTTTGTATCCCATATTTTTATTAACATATCACCAGATACTGATCCAAATATATCAGGATTATATGGTGACCATATTGTACTATATACACAGTTTGTATGTTCATTATATGTTAATATTGATTGCCTTAATTCAGGCCTCCACTAATCAATAAATCAAATAAATTAGAGGAAAAAGTTTTAAATCTATTTTTATTTTTTATTTTTTTTGAAAAATCTAGATTAAATAAATACCAATTTAATAGAACTATCCCATGATCCACTAATAAAACAATCTTTTTTTATTAAATTCCAATTCACTGAAAAAACTTCTCTAGAATGTTCATGCCAATTCATTATAGGAAATTCCTTTTTTTTTTTTTTTAAAAAACAAAATGAAATTAAAGCAGTCAAGGAGGAAGAAATTAAAGAATTAAAGAAAGTAAGAGAAAAGTAAAGTAATAATAACGATAATGCTATTTTAAAGGTTATACCATAAGGGTTATATCCCATAATTTAATTGATCCATCTCCACTAGCTGTTACGATTTGATGTTCATTTAATTCGCTCCAACAACAATCAAATAATCCATCTTGAGTGTCATAACTAAATCAAATATACAATTACTAAAATATTCATTCAAATCAAAACATTAAAAAAATTTTTTGTCGATATATGCAGTACATGATCATCTCATAATCTTACAATTTTTCAAGGTCAATTCCATTCGGCCCAACTCCGGTATTAATAATAAATAATCTACCATTACCAACCAATCCAAAATTTGCTGCTGTCACGCATGCCATTTTATTCTCAAAAAATGGACTAAATTGTAACTAGAAATGTTATATTATTTTTCAAATTAATAATCTTAAAACTAAAGTGATTTATTTTATTTATAACTAACCGAGTACCCATTAAAGCCTTCGGTTTTAAATTTCAACATTCTGTTGCAAGATATATATAATAATATATATAAAATATATTTTTTAGATTTTCACAAAAATTACGTTACACGTTATTTGTCTCACTTGATGTCATGATGAAATATATAGTTAAAATAAAATGCGATGGAAATTAATCGCTTGTCATGTAAAAAAGTTGTCGACATCCAAGCAAATGTTCAATCCATATACCTTAGATGAAGAAGAAAAATCCATAATATTTTTAGAAAAGCCAACATTCTAAACGCAATAAACCAAAGAATGCTGAAATACAAATACAAAAGTTTCTTATCAGAATTTAAAGACATCAATAGACACAACCAAACGAAAATATAAGGTGGTATTAATAATTGACTGTGTAGTCTGTCAAATACTGCAGAATGAATAAATGTCGGTAAACATAACGTGATGGGATTTAATGAAATATTAAATAATTCAAATAATCCACGTATTATTGCCATATGATAAACTTTGAAATCTTTAAATGTTAAAATTATTCCATAAAATTTGTTGCGACTCGTTATCACCATTAATCTAAATTATTGCTATCAACGCTGCTGCTGCTATTATTATTTTCTTTACGATGTTCTTTACGAAGACTATTTAATGTTAATATAAATTATATTTCATGTGATTTAAGAAATTTTGTGTTTGAAAAATCAGGAATTATAATGCGTAAATATCGACACTACGAACTAACATGTCTTTCAGATAAAAATAACCATCCATCAATTTAATCCTAGTTTACTGTGCATAAATCTCATCATCAAATGTGCAAATAAACCACCAAGTATCATCACAGTTGGTAATAATTCATTATACTTTTAAATTATATTAATAAAACTAACCCAATGTTTCAGATAATAAACATCCAGAACCCAAATCTTGTGATATTTTTATACCACACACTTAAAATTGATAAATTTTTTACATATTTAATTAGCACCCTTTTTCATTTGCAAAAAATATATATTAAAAATCTTTCTACTACTAATTGTTTAACAAATGCCATAAAGAAATAATAACAATTTAAAAATGGGATACATTTATCAATTTTAACATCTAAATCTGGTGGTTAGATTATTATATTTGATGAAATATCGCTCACTACACATCCAACAAAAAACATCGCAAGTGATTTTTGATATGAGTTTTAAAAGACAAAAACAAAAATTATAATTTAGTACTAATTTACCTAAAATTTTGAAATTTAAGCATGGAATTTCAATTGTTAATTTGTTTATTGGCTTGTTGATTCGTTTGCTTATAACCCATGCCATTTTTTTCAAATAACAAAAAGTCATGTATTGATCTTTCTTAAAAGATCTCTTTCAAAAATTTTATTATTTCAACAACTTCTGTTAAGTTTTATTCTAAGCCTCATCATTATCATCACAAGATTTAATAACCATTTTTAGTAAGGATTATTTTTTATGCTAATTTATATTGATTTTATGCTGTCAACTATAACTGAAACAAAGGTTTTCAATAATAATTATATTTAATAATTATTTTTACATTTAGTTGTAACATCCTTGATTTTAAGAGAACATATGACACACATTCAATTGAAAGATGATTGAGCGCCTTTATAATTAATTAATATAATAAATACACATAGATTATCACGAAGAAATTATTCTGCTTAATTTTGAGATATTAATATGTTCTTTTTTAAATATGACACTTGATCAATATCAAGAAGTGGAATCATCTTATGATTAGTTAGCTATAAGTTCTGTGCCGAAAATTGAATTTATAATTTTCGGGTCCTATTGTAAATTCTTTGACAAACCATCTATCTCTCTATACTAGAAACACAAAGAAATCTGGTGATTGAGGAGTGTGAGGAGAATAAGGCAGATATTTATAATAAATTATTATTATTGATTTATTTTTTTGAAATGCATATGATTACAATAGATAAATAAACAATTATAAAAACTTGTTTTAATGAGATTCTACAATGCAGCCAAACCCTTGTTTCAATGAATCTATGAAAATTGCACTTGAACCAAAATTACTAATTGCATTTCTGAAAAATTCGTTGTAACATGAATTTAATTATAATTTGTTTGACTGTTATATATTCGTTTTATCACGTGTGACAAAATCGATCGTTGATCCTTTTTATGTTGTGAAACATCTAATTTCAATTGAATTTAGAATAGAAAATAAGGCGTGACTGCGCACAAAAACTTGTTTGTCACATGTGACAAATTCGATTGTTAATCTTTTTTATATTGTGTGACACCCCAATTTCCTTTTTCTTTGTGTAATTTTATTTTGGGCCAATCAAATTTGCTTTTTTTGTGTGATAAAATCAAAATATGATCGACAAAAATCATTAACAATTATCAGTTGTGGGACATGTCACAAAAATTTATTTCTACTGCAAAAACATAGTGAATTTTGATGATTGGCATCGAATTTTTCATAGTAAAATTTACAATTGAATACTTTCAAACCCCAGTTTAGTGCCCTTGTTGTTTAGCAATCATCACCAAATTTGATATATAGTTTCTTTATAG